TACATTTTTCTTAACGCTAAGTTGGTCGCAGGTACATTTTTATTGCTGAGCTTAAGATTTAGACTACGTCATTACGTACCGTTTATGAACGAAGTTGCTTTAACGACTACGCGGGGAAGTATTGCTCGCTTGATTGGGCAAAAGTAACTTGTTTGTGACGCCCATAAGTTTTTAATGCTGGGCGGCCGTTGCCTGACCGGCCGGATTGTTCGTTACCCAGAGTATTACTTAGGTCATCGGGTACGAAATGCGCCGGTTTCAAATTTTCTATGGAGACGCTGCGTTTTGTGCCGTTAATATCTATATCGAAAACGCGGTCGGAGATTCTGTTAATAATTTTGTGGGGACCGGTATATGGTCGCTCTAATGCCTTTTTGGTGGCTCCCACGCGGAGAAAGACGTGTGTGCACGAGAACAGATTTTTGAAGACAAACGCACGTTTTTTATGTCTGTGCTCTACCGGTACAGGTTTAACCTTTCGCATGTATTCCCGGAATTCTTCGATGAATACGTGAGGATTGGGTGTGAAGTCGTCTGGGAGGACGAATTCTCCCGGAACGCGCAACGACGTGCCGAACACGAATTCCGCCGGCGAGGCGTTGGTGTCGAGGCGGACGTGGGTGCGCAGCCCTAACATGACAGTCGAGAGCGTTCGTGTCCAATTCATGCCCGCATGGCACATGATCGCGGCCTTAAAAGTTCGATGCCACCGCTCAATTATGCCGTTTGAGGCGGGGTGGTACGCCGTAGTACGGATACGCCGACAGCCAATCAACTGCAAGAGCGCAGAGAAGAGTGCGACTCGAATTGGCTGCCCTGGTCGGTAGTCAACGTTATGGGAGTCCCGAAATTAGCGATCCAATTGTCGTACAGCGCGCGAGCTACTGTGGCTGCTTCGATGTCCTTGACGGGAACTGCTACTGGCCAGCGAGAAAATCGGTCTATAATGGTTACACAATACTTGAATCCTTCGGATTCGGGTAACGGACCCACAATGTCCATATGGATATGTTCAAAACGGTTGTCCGGCGCTACAAATTTATCTGGATTTAATTTGACATGACGCGAAATCTTTGATTGTTGACAGCATATACAATTCTTACACCATTTCGCGATG